CTGTAGGATATAATCTGCATCTGCTTGTTGAGCGCAAGTCACAAGCGCAAAGCCTTTGCATTTGGGTTGATCCTCGGGCTTATCTTGGTGATGTGGAGGTAACACTATATGTTGCACCCGTTCCTCTGTAGGTGAGCTATCTGAAGCGCCGAATAGAGCCAGAGCGAAACGACGTATGCCAGGTATAGAACGAAATTGTGTTGGAATATTTTCCTACGTAGTCTCATTGGAAAGGTATGCAGACATCATAGTAAGATACATACCATGTATACCGTCCTCGATTCCCATTCTGACCGTGTAGAATTTCCCACACGCCGAAGAGTATCTTCCCAATTCTTCAAGCGCACTTCGTAGCCACCGACATTCTTGAATGGCGATAATTGCTTTCCGTACCAGGTCGACCTCGAGGGCGACGACATGAGCACGCGGACCTCGAGCCTATCAGACAGATAGGTACGTATCGACTTCAAGAGTGTTGATTCCGGAGGAGCTGGCACCAAACCCGCAAAATACGGCGACCTAGACGTGTGATATGAGAGTGGGATATCTACACCCGTGTCAACCTCCTCCTTTTCAACAAATATCTGTGGATATACATACATTGTTCCTCCGTACATTCTATCGTCCTTCTTAGATCAGGGTCTGACCAGAGAGTATAGTCCGACAGGGAAAGGCTTAGCAAACCAGCGTAGTCTTCGTCGCTCGGCCCACTGCTAGTCTCCTTCGCTTTCCCCTTGTCTGTCCGAGTTCGCGTCGGCTCCTGAACATCCGGTGCTAGAAGATGATGAGGAGTTGCCTTAGTTTGTTGCGTAACGGCCGATGTAGCCTTTGCGTTCAGAGATTTCGTCGTGACTTTACGAGGAACAAAAGGAAACATGGTCGCGGTTGCTGCATGCGCGCCTAATCCAGGCTGAGGTTTTCCCTCAGGGCAACTTGAAATTGAAGGTAAGTAATTCTAAGTGTTTGGACCGTCCAGATGCTACGATATTTTATAGGCGTAAAGGTATCAAAGTTCGATTCTCTGGTCACTTTGCAAGAGACTGGCCACATGGTCACAACGCATGCACTGAACTAAAGGTACGGAATGAATCCAGAATTTTGAGAGACGGCTCTAGCATTGACAAGACACAGGTTTTATGTATACGAAAATATATTTACACTAAAAAACCTCGATCCGCGTACAACACCAGGATTGTAATGTGTACCTCACAACTCAACCCTGTGACAGCGGAAAGCTACGACTGGGAAGCGGACAGATCCAAAGTCTATGCATTTGTATATGCAGGAGGCACATCGACTACCGATGGGGGAATTCTCACCCCAGAGTCTTCGAACACTCTAACAAGCGGCGGTGAGCTCGCGTCGTATACGTGCTTCACATCACCAGGAACACGAGAGCCGCTATTCAAGGCGGCGCTGGCACTAGATTGTGCAAAGGTATCTGATCCACTTTCGGCCCCCAGTAGCAAGGGTGGTATCGACGATGTACCACCGAAATTAGACCCTCCAGGTTGCGTGAAGGGACCGTTTAGAGTGTCCGTGCCAAGGTCTACAACCGGGCCACTTGTCGCTAATCCTGATGATCTGGATAATGCACCTATAGGTGTCTGATGGCCGATAGATCCGCTAGTGTCCCCAAATTCGACGTTCTGTGCAGGGATGGCCGGGAAAGAGGAGTGGCTACCAGTCGCGGGACTGGCATAGAGAGATTGTGCGCTGAACATCGTGGGTCCTCCGCCCGAGGTGAGCACAGAAGGCTGATTCAGCATGTATGATTTCTCCCCAGATATGGATGCATTGGAGGTCATTTGCTCAGACATTGGAGTCCCAGACGGCGCCGGACCTAGACGCCATGACCCAAACGGTCGCACATCATCTGCGAGGAAGGGGTTTAGAGTCAGATCGTATGGATCATAGGCTTGAAGGTAATGGCATACCTAAGCTACCCTTCCGTTGACGGCGGCAATACCACAGGAGAAGGGCGAGGATTGCTGCAAGGATCACGCCTCCCACAACTCCACCTGCTATGGCTCCAGCTGGAGTTCGCGATTTTTGAGAAGTAGAGAATGCATCGCTGGAGGGTGTAGCTGGATTAGATGTCTGCAATGTGCTGACACTATTCGACGACGTCGTGAAACTCGCAGATAGCAAGCTAGACCCTGAGGTAGATGACTGAAGAGGACCGTCAGATAAAGACAGTAAAAGTATTAGCTGCACTCACGGAAGAGGGGGTAGACGAGGGGACATCTGATGCAGCGGAGTTACTGGGGGGTTGTGCAACATCCGTGCTGGGAGTGTAGACGATGTAGTCCAGCCAAAACACCGTCGGCGCTGTCCCATTCATGTTCGTGATGACAATCGTATGGTTACCATCTGAAAGAGCGGCGGACCTGTAGAACAAGGTGCGCGCTGTGTAGTATCCAGGAGCGATAAGTTGCGCTTGGTACGTCGTGGAAGTAGAACCGAGCCCGTCAATTTCGTAGGTCGTAACCGGCCGACCGTAGACATCAATAGACCCAACCGATCCGTACACTTCGACACCTATGCCTGCAAAATGGGTTGTTTTTTCAATAACAAGATGAAGCATAGTCTTGCATTGACTTACCATTAAACGCAAAAGTTGCCGTCATGCCAGCAGACGCAGCTCCAGATTTCGTGTCGTCATATTCAGCAGTAGAGGTCACTTGCATCCATGAGCCTGAGTACACGATGCTTGGGTCGCGATCATCGACAACGAGCGCAGTGGCATTCCACTTGTCTGACATGGTGGGGGTCAAGACGAAAGAAGGAACATGTCAGATGGAATAGTGAGCAGCTTAATCAGTCCTAGACCTATCGTCGGACAGGACTTTTAATCTGTCTCGCTTAGCCTCCAGGGGTTGATGGATGCCACTCTCCGACAGGAACACGTTCCCGACATGCGCTAACGCAATGCGCTCGAGACTTACTCTCAGCTACTCCTAGTCACAATAAAATAGTTAGCATAGTAACCAACATGTCTGTCAAATATCAATCACAACTTATGCAAGCAGTGCATACATTCGAACCTGGAAGGTCGCATCATGTATATGAAGAACTTGAAACAATGAGGAGAGAAGTTTGAAGGATCGGCTTGGGCGCATCGGAGTCGTTCCTTGAAATATGGGCGCGCATCATGATTAGGTTTGAACGGCATTGTTACACATTAGGCTCAATATCATGCTTCAGTCGGGCACAGGGCCACTGCCAGGGTAGTTGATCAAACTAAGCCGGATGATTAGCTTGTTTTTCTCGGTGCAATACTGATATATTTACCAGAACCCTACTAATTCGTTGCTGGACTGCTATCACAATTAAGGATCTTAATACTTAACAACTGTATGCTGGCGGAATGTCCACTGGTAGATGGACATGGTCAACCGCTACTGGTATAGAGGAGGGCATTCGTCTGTTGTGCATCGCGTGAAGCTTGGAATGAAGCGCACGTGAATCTGAAGCCGATGTGCTGCCTTGAGGCTCGGCCACACCGTCGCTGCCAGGGGGGAGTATATCGGAATGAACTGAAACCGCTCCATCTTCTGTGTCTACAGAGGAAGGAACGGTCGTATAGGCCTCGCGAGGTATGGGCTGGTTGGTTATGAGCTTTTCGGATGTCGCAGAGGTGAGTCCAGTGTCGGCATTTTGACCAGCAGGCCATGATCCAAATGGCTGCAAATACTCTGCTGGAAAGTTCAAATCAGCAGCAGACGGTGATGTTCGGGAATTACTGACCAGTAGTTCGTGGTTGCCGCCGCCGATACCATAACCATAGCAGCATTAATGACACTACGATCACGACTCCGCCTATGACGCCGCCTGCTATTGCGGCAACAAAAGCCTTTGTGGAAGTTTTAGACGTAGAAGAAACACTTCCAGGTGTCTCCGTTGCAGTCACCAATCCCGTGGGTGTGAGAGTGATAGAAGCCGGGCTTGTGGGCGAACCCGACGCAGACGATGATGAGCTGACGTCAATTTTCGAAAGTTGATTTGTGAGTAGGGCTGATTCCTGGCTTTCGGTAGAGAAAGATGAAGCTGTGAAAGATGCTGGTGTTGATGATTGATTTGGCTGAGGGATAGAGGGACTAGAGGAGGGTGACGAAGCGGGGCCCACATTGTTTGAGGATTGTGGACTGGATGGTGAAGCAGGTGAAGACGGTGAAGACGTGAGGGGGCCGCTGGGGGGCTGGGGGGCTGCTATCGACGGCGTATACAAGATGTAGTCCAACCAGTAAAGATTCGGTTGAGTACCATTCATGTTCGTTACGAGAAGTTCATGCTCCCCCGCGGGCAGAGGCGGCGAACGATAGAAGAGGGTGTGAACGGTGAATTCGGGCGAGGGGATCACGGGGGTCTGATAAGTCGCATAGGACGATCCGTCGACGGTATACGACGTGACCGGTTGTCCATAAACATCGAAGGAGCCTTGGGAACCATATACCTCCACTCCGGTACCTATGAAATGGTACCACTGGGTTTAATAAAATGAGGTATGAACGGTACATGCAGTAATACTAATTCACCATTGAATGTAAAGCGAGCGGTCAAGCCTGCTGCGGCAGCACCTGTCTTGGTGAACAGATACTCGCTACGGTCAGCGGGTGCTGGTGCTCCTGTCACTTGCTGCCATCCGGCAGAATATTGTATAGTAGGATCGCGGTCGTCCACAATCAAAGCGGTACTGTTGTACTCTGCCATGAGTGGGGGGTCAGGTGAACTAGTTCTCTTTCAAAAGGTATGCGCCCATATCTTAGGCAAAGTGAGAGATCTGTAGTTCATCTGTTCGTCTTGAAACCGATAGGCTGATACGCAAGGAACGACAGCTGGCAGACGATATCCTCAGCACGACAGCATCACGTAGTAGTACATCACCGTTGATGACCGCGAAACTGTCAGGAGTGGCAAGTCAACCCTGTTTAGGATACAATATTATAAATGAGTGACACCGTGTTTTCAGCCGTTTCAAGATTACTATCCAACGCAAGCCTTCGATAGCTCAGTTGGAAGAGCGCAAGACTGTAACGGATAATCTGCACATCTTGCGGCCGCTGGTTCGAGTCCGGCTCGAAGGATAATTTTACCGCGATTAGGACCGATGTCGCCGGATCGATCCCGGCTCGAAGCATGTACTTTTGCAACTTGCTAAGTACTTATCATCAATTACATTAAGCACTTATAACTAGTTTACATTACATAGTTATTGTGATAAGTCCCTTATTATCAATCACTTATTATTACTTACCGTAATAGGCGCTTGCACATGATGAGTTTCATTAATAACGAGCCATGGCTTCTTCTTTACTTCATGACCGTACATCCTTGTCTGCTTTGCCAAAATGGAGCGTGATGTTAAACAGCTTGTGGAGATGGTAAGCCTGAATATTAGTACCTCATCCTTGTTCCGTTCTGACAACAAGAAGGGGGCGACGGCAGCCCAAGCGCGAGCCGCGTTGAAGCAGTACAAGGACGTGATGCAAGCTGCAGAGCGAATCTTCGATGGAGCATTTGATGATATCCTGGATGAGACTGACATGCGGCCGGAGAACGCGATTGCAGACAAAAAAGCGCGGATGATCGTGGGTACCCTTGCCACTATGTTAGATGGGAATCCTCTCATCTACACACCCAGACTCCTGACGAGGACCCGGAAGAAGACGTTGACATGGATGGTGATGGCGAAGACGATGAGGAGGAGGACTATAGTGAGCGTCCTGTGAATTGTGTCATCCTCGAACTAACATCGACGCGTAAAGTGGAAGACTACCAAGATTATGATTCCGACTACGAGCCCAGGGCAGATGACCCAAACGGTGCATCAACTGCAGATCCATATGCAGGTATTGTCTTTGCTCGTCCGGTGACAATCTTTCTCAATGCTGTTATAGGTATCTTCTTCTCCAAGGATAGGCGAGAGGAGGTTATTGAGATAGAGGAAGAGCCTGAATCGGCGTTCATCGCCAACGAGCAGGTAAAGCTCATGACGCAAGGACAGTGGATGAAGGGATGCCCGGAAGGTGGAGAACAGAGCTTCCTGTTCAGTTTGTATAGGGAACTGAGCGAGGGTGAATGCCCTTGCCCTGACGGATGTGGCATATCGATTCCTCGAAGCAAGCGCGAATTCTTCGGCATATTTGTACGTAGATTTATCCGTTTTTGCATACTTATTATTCTGATCAGATTGCAGTCGGAATTTTCTGCATATATCGAGCATCTTCAGCAAACCGTCGTGCGCCGCTGCAAAGGATGCTCGAAATCCCTCTGCCTGGCATGTGGGGAATCAGTGTCGCCAAATTCTTCAGGCGATTACAACGAACGTCTATTCCATTGTGCAAACCTACAGGGTACTATTCTTGGTGTTGGCCTTGCGATGTTGGAGGGGTGCTATCTAGATGAGACCCAGCCGACCCCAGGAGAGCGTACCTCGAAACCAAGAACACATAAAAAGCGTAAAGTTTCCGCTACGCCCACGCCAATAGCAACTGATGCTGAAGATGACGAATGCTTCATGCACCCTCTCACTGTCGGTACGAAATCCAAATCATCGGGTATCGGTTATGCTGGTGGACTTAAAGAAGATGTGAGCCTTCATTCTTTCAGCCGCTATACTAGCATGTCTCAATATTGTCATAGACTTCGGGACAAACTGAGGCACTAGCATTACAAAGGACAAAAGATCTCAAACTTGCCACCTTGTTATCTCAAATTCGTGTGTACCTGCCATCTCTACATCGCCCCGATGGTGGCAAATCCAGCGATTACCTTCCACATCCGACAACACTCGCACATCTCAGGAGACGATTCAACTTTGTTAGCAGCCAGCTATTGCGAAACGACTCTTTAGCAGATATGTCCGATCGGGCTGTGCTATACTTTGAGTTGCTTGAATGGCTCGAAGTACGTATCAATAGACTATCATGCCCGCTGTGCTGATCCCCTCTTTCAAATAGACAATCTCCTGTCACGAAGCACTTGCCGGCATGATGGCTATGCCTATCATGGTTGTTTCCTCTGTGAAGACCGTCGTCTCAAGGAAGAGTGCCGGTAACCCGGTCCGCGAACGTACTCTCGTGTACGAGGGATCTTCTGGACCTCGGGAACTCTTGGAGGCCATTGTAATTCAGGCGCAGGCCGCTTTGAAAGGGCTGGAGCCCAATAAAGGACCAGATGGCACTATAGAAGACGCGATGACTGAAGAGCAGAAGAGGATGACTCTCGATGATAAGGGCAAGGGCAAAGACATCTTGAAGACGGTCTCCGAAGAGAACGCGAAGCTACTCGGGTTCTGCAAACGTATCCTTTCAACCGCTAGGGCTATTGACAAGTCACTCCGAGATACGAAGGGAGATGCCTTTGTGAACAGGCTGCATGTCAGTCTGCCGAAGATCCCAGGAACGTCTTCATCGAGCAATATTGAGGGACCTGAATTATTGGTTGACATCAAAGGCTCTGAGCAAGACGTGCAGAAGGCATACATGGAATGGGCGAATCGTGTTCGCTTTGAGTACTGCGATCTCACAATTCCCCCCGTAGGGACGGTGGGAGAGGACGAGACTCCTCATTTCAAGTTCTATTACAACGCCGAGGCGCGCTTGCTTGTCTATTCTGACATACCGAAGCGGTCACTGGCGATCGCTAAGGAGGTGCGCCACCGCATCATAGTATATGTAAATACTGACCAAGCATTTTCTGCTTTGACAGCTTGCGGTGCTTACTACGAACCTACCTGTCGCTTGGGACTCCTCGATTTTCCTTCGTGTCGACGAGACTCGTGTAGACGTCATTAAGGCTTTAATTACTGGTCCCAAAGGAACTCCGTAGGTTTCGGAAATCTTTTTTCGGTTGATAGTTTCGTTGATGTTCCTGCGTCTCGTTCTCGCCATCAGGTACCACAACGGCTGGTAAATTTAGGACCCTAGATCATCCGAAGATGGTTCTCATTTTCTCTGCATAGCTATCTATTCGACATATTCCTGGGCCCGAGCTACAATCAAGCACCTCCAAGTGTTAAATACATAACGGTAATTCCGTTCATTTTCCGGTACTTTCTATCGTGTAACGATTTGTCTGCCGCAGACCGGTGGTGGGAAATACCGTTTCAACCCTAATCTTTACAGCGTGCGTACTGCAGTGCACTATCATCCCGTCTTATCTAATTCGGATATCAGGATGGTAAAGTGTGCTTATCTTTGCTTGGGACATGGCAAGGGCCCGGTTGGATTGCTGGGAAGTCAACGCTGCTACAGGTATGTTCTGGCGACTGTCCTCAACATCGAAACTAAGCCATGACTCAACGCTTACTGTAGGTTCTCATATCAATACAATCCATGATCCTCTGCGACGAACCCTACCTGAATGAGCCTGGTTGGGCTAATAGTGCGGGAACACCGGCGTCCAAGCAATGTAAAAATATTCAACTTCTTGATCCTTGTACCACTCTTACCGATATGTCCTACGATAGACTCCGCAAACGTTCGACGAATGGTTGTGAAGATCGCAGTATGAACGCTGTCTACTTTTTTGACCATGTAGCTGACACACGATCCCTTCCAGATGCTAAGCAATCTGAAGAACCCCCCAGAACCTTTTGCCGAAGTCATTCGCACACATTACCGCTTGAAGGCGCGCTCTATAATTAAACAGCTTGACCAATGGCTAGCAGAAGACGATGGCAACTCTGATGGTGCTAACATCAGTAAAGGAGCAGCCGGTGGTAGCTCCAATGGTTTCAATGAAGACGTCGACCACTTAAAGGAGATTCTTCAGCGGCTGCACGATGGTCAAGATATTAGTGCCGCCATCTCTTCCTCATCGAGGTGGTGATTAAAGCATTTTTACTGTGTTCTCCTATACCACTTTTTATACATCAACTATATCCTGCCGTCGCATTGTTATTTCTTGGCTGTCGTAGTCGTTCTGTTTTGTAGTCATCGTGTAGGAAAAGCTGTAGCAAAATGTCAAGTCGATAATAATTCATTTACATGTGATTTCCCACGTGTCCTTACCGCGGACATCGCGCACTTGACCGTTCCTTCGTGGAAATAGCCTGACTGGCGGCCGCTATACAGTTCGCTCGTTCTATACTGCTACTACCACACACATACAGCCTAAAATCATGGCTAGCGATTCAGTTATTCACTCATTGGCAGGGGCGGCCGGTGGCATTGTAGCAATGACAGCCACATAGTGAGCACAAACCAACACCAGTTCCAAATATCTTGAACTTCTTGCGTTTCTCCTAGCCCACTGATCTTCTTGTCTACTCGCGCCGCTGTCGCTACCAAGAAAGAGTCGAAGGTATAGGGCAAGATGACCTAGTGTATGCGCGTGCTTACTAACGCAATGGGAGAACAGTCGACATATCAGGCGGTGGTGGACATCATTCAGCAAGAAGGTATCCTCGGCCTCTACAGCGGACTTCGTTCCAGTTTGTTAGGTATCTCCGTGACAAATGGGTGCGCTCTGACTTTGTTCGCTCAAAAAATCACGTTTTTGAACCCTTGTCAGAATTTACTATTACTTCTACGAGCGTTCCCGCGGCGCCATTCTGAAGTCTAGGCCAGGTAGCAAAGGCCTCAGCACTATTGAGTCCATACTTGCGGGGCTCATTGCAGGTTAGTTATATCGAATTTTTATAAAGCTCATGGTTATAAACCGTGCCGTTCTAGGGTCGGCGACTACTATCATCAGCAATCCCATCTGGGTAGTCCAAACCACTCAAGCAGTGCACACAATGAAACAGCCTGCCTCGGATCCTACTCGGCCGGCTGTTAAGAAATCAGGTATCACTGAGACCATCCAGCATATACTCCGCAAGGACGGCATTTCAGCTTTCTGGCGGGGGATTGGACCTGCGCTTGTGCTTGTCCTCAACCCCGTGTTGCAATATACTGTGTTCGAGCAACTGAAGAACATGTTGATCACCCGGCGCACGGCCAAGTTAAAGGCTGCAGGTGCTGTGATGACAGCCGCAGTGTTATTGTCTGACATCGATTACTTCTTCCTGGGGGCATTGTCGAAGCTGGGTATGTACTTCTCTACTACGTCCGTTAGACTCTCGCTGATGACAATATAC